CATAAAATAACATTCATTGTTTTCATAACATTGAACATAAAATTGATAAAGTTGTTTATATAACGGGGGTGTCCAGGGGGTTGTTATTATATAGGGGATTGTCCACTAATCGGGGGGATGACCTCGTAAATGTATTAAATTATTATACAATATTTAATTGTTTTAAAAAAAATATTAATTGTTCAATTTCAATTCATTTGTAAATTAATATTCTTTTACAATAATATCTCAAATATAAGTTATAACCAGAGCAGAGATTATTCGGGAATAAACCATCCGAATTCGCGACAATTTAGAAATTTAGTCTATGCAATTAATGCTAAACTTATGGACAATGATAATTCTACGATAAAGATAAGTAATGCTAAGTAAATGACGAATACTCATATAATATGAGTCATATTAAATATGCAGATAATGCTAATCTATTTATTTGAGCATCACCCAAAATATTAATTAATAAATTGTAAATTTTGAGTGCCGGTGCCGATTAAATTTACGGCATTTAATGACGGTGCCGCACAAGTGCCGTTGGTGTCGGTGATTTCGGTAAAAGAAATATTATCCCACTAAATTATGGGTAACCAAAGTCAAGGTCTTAGTTACCTTACTAAATGTTATGCACCTGCCACCCCTTCAAAGCATGCACTAACAAGGTGCAATTTTATAATGAACTTTCAGAAAAAATTAGGGTAAGGTAACTAAGACCTTGACTTTGGTTACCCAGACACTAAATCTTACCTGTTATTTATAATAATAATAATAATAGTTTTATTAATCATACTCGTTGATTAAAGGTACAATGATTGTTTAGTGATTATAATTTGTTATAAAATTATCTAATAAATACATTTTACAATTATTAATAAATTCTTTACATAAACATGAGTTTCTTATAGAATATGGCAATGAATTAAATAAATTTATACCATGTATGAAAAAGTTTGTCACAAACATGTAATCTCGTGTGTATTGGCCTAAGAATTGGTCAATTTCTGGACTCAATTAACACAAATAATTGTTTCCAGTTTTGAGGAACACATATATAATTGTTAATACTTTTAAATACATAATCAATAATTTTCATATCAAGTCTAATATTAATGGGAATAAGATTTTAAAATTCTAACCGTTGTATATAATTATAATTATTGTTATGTGTTTTATTACATATTTGTTTAGTAATTATACGTTGTATTGATTCGATGCGTGTTTTTTTTGTGTATGATTTGGTGACCAAACATACAAACAATAGTTAATAATAGGTATAATATACACGTTATATAATCGCAATAACACTTTATGGTCGGCGAAAGGGAATAGTTTTCGTAATATAATCCACTTTTTTATGGCATTCTTATACACATAGTTTGTTTGTTCATTAAAACTGAGTTTAATGTCCAAAATCACCGAAGAGATCCCAATCGCCGACAACCACTTCACTGACCGGACTGTTGGAGAAATTGATGACTTGAACGGTGCGTTCGGTGCCGTTGAAGGCCAGTCTGTGGACACGCTTTAAGGCGTAAGCGTTTTGGATATGCATTTTAGCGAAGGGGACGCCACTGAACACATTGGCCGGCAGTTCAGAGATGGCTGAGCTGTTGAGCTTAAATCGGGTGAAAGGCTCAACATTTGCCGGTAGTTTGGGCTTCAAGTCGGCAAATATGGGCGCAATGTTTACGTCTTTATCGCCGGCGCACACAATACTACATCCGATGTCGTACTCTTCGTATAAGCAT